TATATATATATATATACACACACAACTATCAAACAACTGTTTCTTTTTAGAGGGGAAAAAAAAACTACCCAATAATTTCTACCTGGGTTAAACTGATCCATAAAACTAGCAAGACCTGATAAAGCTGAGTATATTTCTAAGAAACTTACCTGTATGTTTCATCCAGTAAAACTTTAATTTCCTCTGGAAAATACCGGCTAATCCCCAAGTTTTCTAGATTATCAACCGTGGATAGACGAGAATATAAATCCAGAGGGTAAACAGCCGGAACTGAAGAGAAGAGAAAGACGCATAAGTTTTTTTTCAACGTGCAAAGTTAGCATGCTGAAATTCAGTGATTGTTACCTGCACTCCCGAATTTCTTTACGGCTGAGTGAAGGTAATTAAGACAATCAGAATTTTGAAGGCCGATATAAGCTGCTGCTGTTGTGGATGGAGAGTTGAAAAGTGATCCATTTTTTCTTTGGTATTTCATGATTGATGTCGTCCAGTTCGGTGATTTTCGAATTCTTTCAGCAGTGTATGCCAAGAAAGCTTCTTCCTCTACTGAGCGACTCTTATAGCACCTACAAATTTATAGTAAGATCGTATAACTAGTAATATGAATAAAAAAACCTTGTGTGGCAGTCTCAGTCTGTCATATTCTATTCCAACTAAAATGCTAAAACAATTCAACATGAGTTATAAGAATAAAAAAGGACAGAAAAAATCCGGAGTTTTACAGTAACTGTCTCCTGGGTTCATCACCCTGTAATACAATGTCAGTTCCGATCAATACGGCTACCATCACCAACCAAACTTTTTATATTTTTTTCACGATCATATTTACAACTTATAACTCATTTCACAATCACAAATCCAATCATGAATCACCAATAAATATCCTACACCATTTGTTTTGAACATCACACTAAGTTGTGTGGCCACAAAGCGTTTTCCTGGTTGTTCTCTGCCAAGATAACAGAAACACCGACACACACACACACACACACACACATTATACATGTTAAACAGAAGGATAAGAAAATCACATTAAATACTAACTTTTTATTGTCATTAAGTTGTTCCAAATTTCATCCTTCTGGACATCATATGTAAGTTGTAACACCTTTTTGAATAACATTTTCAGTACCAAAGAAAGTGGTTACCTTTTAAGCTCTCGATCACTTTTACGTATCAGATCAGTCAACGTAGTCTCTTCCACACGAAGCTCCAATAATAAGTCTCGGGCATAATCAAGCATGGCCGGGAAAATGACAATAAATCCCAAAGGATCAATCTGATACTCATCAACGGCCGACGCAAAATTCGTCTCTATATAATGAGTACCTGCGAAAAAGAATTCTCGTATCAACACACATAACCAATTTTGAAGGGTTTTTCTTTTTTTTTTTTTTTTTTTTTGCCTTTCCTAGTTGGCAAGTCCAGATAAACACACCCTTCTTGATTTGTTCTTCACCAACTCCCCATCTTCTGAGTGCGAGAAGGCATGCTAACGTAGAAGAAAGCACATCTTTTTTTAACAAAGGATGATGGTGAGAACGGGCCCACGAGCCGTCAGGGCACTGGTTCTCCAGCAGCCATTCGAGGCACCCTGGGAAACAGGGTTCTTGAAATGAATTTGGAGAAGGAACCATAGCAACCCATGCCGTGTCATATGTCGAGATAGAAAGTTCAGCCTTTTGAATCAGCTTTGATATTCTTTCCTTAGCATCCTCCAAGCCCTGCTAAGGTTCTTCTCATGATATCAATGCGCTTCATTTTTTAATGTTGTGTAAACAAATAAAGCTGGAAATCCGAAACAATGTGTACGAGAATAAAAAAAAGGTGTTTAATCATACCGTAGAGACAAATTTAGCTGATGTTATTCCTTCAACACCAGTGTCCGAAGATGCTGCAGCAAGAAAAAAAAAAGGAAATATGCTCTGATTATGCAAAAATTGTACCATTTGAACAGCAGAAAACACATTTTCCATCAATCACCAACACAAACTCTTGAATTTTCACATCGAGGATGGTAACTTTTGGTAATATCTACGTTTTTCACTGTTCGAGTTATGATTAGTACACAGACCCAAGTCACTGCCCTCCCACAATTGCAGCTAAACATAGTGAAATTTTTTGCCTACAAATCTACGAACAAACTCAAAAGATCAAGAAACAAGTACAGACCAAAGGCCCACAGGACTCCCAGAAGTAAAGAACAAACAACAAAACAGCAAGAGGACATATGACTAACTATTGTTTTGTTTTAGGCTGATGTTTTTACAGATAGGAGCTGACTAATGTAACCCATGATTCATCTATGCAGATCCATCATCCATGATTAAGTAAAGTTTGCACCTTCACTTTTCTTTTTCTTGTTTTGTGCAAGAATCTCATCTGCAGAGAACCCACTAATCTTAATTGGGTTTAACGGAGAGAAATCGAACGCGCAAACAACTGCAATTACAAACAAACCATTAAAAAAAAAACCCAAAAAAATCTAAAAAGAAAAAGGAAAAACCTGCAAGGTGAGAAGAAGAGCACGAGATATTGAAGCGTGATTCATTTCGGGTGAAGAACTGAGGGATGCACTGGTGGAGATACATAGCAGGTGGGTTTTCAGACGAGCTATTGCTTAAAAATTCAACCTTTTTTCAAAAGTGTGTTTGAAAAGTGTGTTTGCTTGTGAAAGGTGACGAGTGCGTCGTCGTTCACTTTTCTGCAAAGTGCAAAGCAAGCATGATTGAGCTCCACTGTCTTAAATCTTCTATACTTATATTAAAAGGGAACCTATTTACTAAATATAGTAGTTAGAAAAGTCAAACTTAATTAATGAATTTTTAATTTTATCAAGTATTTAATTAATGCATCTAATATTTTGGGTATGCAAATCAAATTAGCATTTAATTAGTTCCTAAAATATTAGGTATGCAATATTAATTTATGAATATGCATGTAGTTCCTAAAATGTTGGTATGCAACACGTAAAAGAAGATTTTTTTAATTTTTTTTAATATAAAATATTGCAACACGTAAAACTATTCCAGTTATTTTTTATTTTATTTTACATATAAAATCTAATCAATATTTAATGCATCCTACAAAATTGGATTTAGTTTAATTCTCCATACAATTGGTTGTAACTTTTTCAGTTGTACTTTATTTATTTATTTATATATTTTACACTTTTAAATTAATGAAGCTCTCTGAAAATACCAAATCAAATGATTTATGAAAGTTTCTTTTTTTTTACAATTTTAGATCTATATACTCAGCTCAAAAAACTCATTGCATGGACGAGTTAAAGAAAATTTCATAACCCAGCTTACAAAATTCCATCTCCACTAGTAAAAAAAAAANNAAAAAAAAAAAAAAAAATCACATACCTCATCTATCGTAACAACTTTAAAGATAAATAAATAAAAGTCTAATTACTACTATAAATCCATTATCTATTTATTTTTTTTTTTAAATCTAAATTTCACCTGTCTAATTACTAATATTTTATATACTTTTAAATATTATTTGTATAAATTTTTTTACACATTTGCTCTCTCTCTCTCTCTCTCTCTCTCTATATATATATATACATATATGGAGGTTAAATGAAGAATTTTTAGACATGTTTTCTTACGGGTAGTTTAGAAAAATTTAGGTAGTTTCAAATATTATTTTTGAATAATATATAATATTTTAGATGCTTTTATAGATGTTATAAAATATTTTAAGAATTTTTTAATATTTATATATCACACTTAGAAAGTATATTTTACAAAAAAAAAAACATTAAATACACATTGTAAATGTTAATAGAAACAGTCTTCAGTGTTCGTCTTTGATCTCAATTACATATAAAATTTCTTTTTATTTGTCACATAATTTTTGGTGTGAATTAATCTCGATTTGTATTTGTAAAATTGGTAGCTTTTGCATTAATTTCAATTTGTATTTGTAAAATTGATAGATTATTAAGCGTACAAATTTCTTTTTATGGTAACAACTTAAAAAAATGATAGTATTTTTTAAAATATTGTGTAGTCAAATCTTCATATGAAGTAACATCATAATTATGTTATCTTATAAATTTTCCCTAAAACAACTTCAGCGTGAGATAATGTCTTTATTTAGGCTTACGATATTTTAGATACTTAAACAAAATGTTCAGACATATTTTTTGCATATTATATCCATATGTCCACATATATATATATATATATA